CAAGTTATAAAAGTTAATATTACCTGTTTCAAAATTTTCATTTCTCACATTCAATCCTTTTATATATCAATGTGTTTTCATGGCTATTAATAAGAAATTTGATGTATATTTATTAATAAAATTTCTCTACCGTTCATCAATGGATCATAAAAAATTTTACTACAATTCGAAAATCTAATTTAAAATAAAAAACAATATTAAAAAAAGAATTTTCAGTAGTTTGAAAAATCAAATATAACTTACGAAATTAATTTTTTTTCTGAATTTTTTCTTTGTTTTATTGAATATACTGTTAAATAATCTGAAATATCTAATTACAACAGATATAATAATAGTAAAATTAATGAAATCAATATGGAATTATAAAATTAAAAAATATAATTACATGTACTAGTATATTTTGTAAAATCAACGAGTATTTCCAGTGAATTTATATTTATATTTAAGCCACACCATGCAAAAAATTCTTAATTAATTTATTTAATTAGTATATAAATTTATATTACAAATAACAATAAAAAAAAAACTAATTACCTCCATTGGTTCTGTTTAATTTTTTATTATTAATTTCAATTTCAAAATTCACCTCGCTTTTTTGATCATTTATAATTCTATTATAATCTGAGGGTTCTTGGTGCATGATATGATATTTGTAAATCTTACGACATTTTCTTTGTTTCGACTTATAGACTTCTATACAAAAAATCATCTAATAAATGAAGTAATATACTTACACCATCTTCATCATTTTTGGCAAAATCAAGTTCATATTTCCATAACTAAAACTACATAGAATTGATGATAAAATTGATCCCTGCAGAATACCTATCTTCTGCCTGTAATATTCATTACTGACCTATATTAATAAATAATTTAAGATCTTAAATTTTATTGACGATAAACCTTTAAAAATACATTTGGTAAATTTAAAAAAATTAAAATAATTACCTTTATTATATTTTGTTTAATGTGTTCTTTTAATTGATCAAGAACACTTTCTAATTCTTTGTATGATTCAAAAACATTATCAACAATAATCGTATATCATGACTTTTTGTTAAGATATCAGAATATTCTGAAAAGTTTAAAAACTTCTCTAATGTTTTTTAAAAAGATCATAAATAAAATAAAAAAAAATAAAGGTAAAAGTAAATAATTTAAAATTTAAATTTAAAACCATTTTACCGCTATTATGAGTATAATAGTTGTGATTTCTGTGAATTCTTCCATTATTTAAACGGATTGCTTCATATTTATTTACAGAGTACTGAGTCTAAAAAATCAATAAAAATTATAAATTATAAAATTAGTAATATATTAAAAATAAATATTTAATTAGATTCTTAAATACAAATTTCAGTTAAAATTTTTGTATTGATTATTTCTATTAAACTTATCATGATCAATTGTTTCAAAACAATTTTTAATATCAACTTTAAAAAATAAAGTTTGCAAATTTTTTCCTTATTTGTATTCTTTTAAACGGTTATGAATTTCATTGTAACTGAAAACAGATCCTTCAATAGTGAAGGGTTTTTTCCTAAATAATATCAGATATAATTATGATTAAAAGTATTAAAAATTAATATTAATAATAATTAAATATAAATCATTTAAATTAATATTATTACATAATTAAATTTTTTCGCACCTTTTCATATTTCAAAATCTGAAATACAGTATTTTAAATGTTATTTATTGATTGAGATCGTTTTACATTTTTGACAATAGGCAACTTTATTGTTTGATTAAATATAGTTGTGTTAATAAATTTGAAAAGTATTAGTTAAAACAATATGAAATAACATACAATTTGGGTTTTCGTATTTATAACAGGCCTAAGATTTCCAATGTGATCTTTGGGAATAAATTTAAGTTTAGAGTAATTTTTCAACTTTTTACCCATGTCAATCGCAAATGTAGAAATGACTTCAGCTGATGGATCAGCCTCGTCTCTTTATTCAAAAATGACTACCATAGTGGGGAGGTTTTGTTGTTACTAATTATTTTTAAAAAAAGACTAAAAATAAAAAAAAAATAATTATTAATTTAAATTAAAAAAATATGACATCGAGTTGTCTCGAATAATCGCCACCTGTCTACTGATTGATCAAGCCCAATCTAAAAAGAGAAAAACGATAAATCGCGGCCATCTTATATGACATCAGGTTGTCATCAAATAATCGCCACTACAATCGCTCCTGTCTACTGATTATTCAAACCCAAATCTAAAAAGAGAAAAATGATAAACCACAGCTATTAATTACACAATCGATCTTATAAATAAAAATAAATAAAAAAAAATAAGTATATATAAAAATAATTAAATCACCATTCACCAAGTCAATTATTTTTCGACTCAACAATTGAAAGAAAAGAGAAAAACAACTAAATTAACCAGCAATGACCCATCACGTACATGACATGTATTACATAAATGTACCATCTGAAACACAATTGACCCATTCACTCTATCGACTCGATTAACAATCAATCCCAAATTATTAACAACTTCAACGTAGAACCTATCCTTCATACTCTTGATCATAACCGATGTATGGCAACTGAGCAACGTTTAATATGCAATGCCCTTTCCACCATCGAAGGAAAATACTTCATCCGATACCATTGACACCATAATGACGAATATCAAAAGATGGAAAACAACCCTAACCAAAAAACATTTAAATCAAATACGTTCCTACCCGTATCAGTCAAGCTTCAACCAGGAACAAAGATTATGTACTTGAACAATTCGAGGGCGGAGCTCAATATTACAACGGGACCATCAGCATCATCACAGACGTTAACCCTGAAATGAACTTGGTTCAAGTCTCTTTCAGCATACCGGATGGTATCGTCAACCTAGAAGGTTGAACGTAAATTACTTTTACCGTGAACGGAAACTCCACCAAAACTCCTACTCACTAACAATCTATAACTTAAAGAATAGCCAGTAATTCCTTACCAGTACGACTTATCCCGCCGGTATTATTCACACAAAAAACACCTAACAAACCTTACCAGCCAGCAAACGCAGCAAAAGAAAATTTTTTTCTGAAAAAATGATCACATAAACCAAAAACGTAGCGAACGTAGTACAGTAGTAACACTCTTTCATTATTACGTATGCTCATCATTTTTATAATTTTATCGCAAGGTAAACTTAATCATTAGCCAATCTGATTGACCCATTCGATGGTAACGTGACGGTGAGTTTAGCCACCCTAGTTTAGACTTTAGATTGATCATCGATCCCGTAATATGATTGCTGATCAATCTTTTTTTTTAATTGATTTTGTAGAAACGTTACTATAAAAACATTTCTTTCTTCAATAGGGTTTCAGCTTTGAAATGGCCTCCTGAAATGGTGATTTGAAAAAAATTAACTTTATATAGAAACATTTTACTAAAGTTTCTTTTTTTTGTAATAATTGCCGGTCATACTTTGAGGTAATTAATTTAGTAGAACGCTGGCTCAGACACGAAACCAGACTTTAAGGTAAAAGTGGTTTATTTTTTTTATTTTTAATTTAAGATGTTACTTTTCGTTATTTTCCTTGAATTTATATGCTATTAAAGAAGAATAATGAAGTGGTCGAGATAATCAACAAATATCATAATGAAGAGAAGATCTCATACCATGGTAATGGCAGTTGAGAACTCGCCCAAATTAGCAGAGATGGATTTCACAAAGTGTAATGAAATCAATCTCTACTCTGAATGACAATTTTACCAAGAGATCGAGAGACGCAAAAATTATAAATTATTAAGGGTTACAAAATAGCAAAGATTCAGAAAAAGTGGAGGACTGAACCTGAGAACAAGATGCGCCACTCCAATACCTGTATTGAAGTCACATGTTTACATAAAAAGTATTCCAATAACAAATTAAACCGGATTTTTGTTATTAATGTATATATGGGCTTGGAGGAATTTGTGGAATTTAGATCCGGGTAAGAGGTATTAGATATGCAAATTTATGATATCTTTATCCAAAATCGATTACACTTCAAATTCGAAATTTTATTATTTTTCGGTATTTTTGTTACATATGTAATTTTATTTAATTGTTAATAAAAAAAATATGTGCAGATTCATGTGATTTCACGCTGGGCACAAAGCACATTTTGTTATATCATTATCTTAAAAAGGAAATTAATCTAGTATTTAAGAGAAAATTGAAACCCGGACAAAAAACTGGATTATTCAACGCCACTATTTTGAATTGCACAACATATGATTCGTTTGCGCCTGGTCTATTGTAGTGTTATAGTAATCGGCAAAATTCTTTTTTTTAGATTTTACAATAGACCGCTATAATAAATTCTACGAGGGAGAATTTGATTTGTTTATAACAATAGACTGCACGATTTTTTTTATGATTTTTACTAATAAGTGAGATTTTTTTTCTGAGATTTTGAATGAATTTTATTTTACAATAATATATTTTGACACAGTTGACATTATTTTTCTCTTAACAATAGATTGAATTGTGTAATATGTAATCAGTCCATTCGAAAATGCGGATTCTTAACTTATATGGCTATATTTTATTGCGCCAAGTTTTGTGTCTATTCAAAAATGCGGATTCTAACTATTTGAAAATTCGGATTCTAACTTATATGGCTATATTTTATTGCGCCAAGTTTTGTGTCTATTCAAAAATGCGGATTCTAATTATTTGAAATTTGGATTCTAACTTATATGGCTATATTTTATTGCGCTAAGTTATTTTGCGCAATTGATTTTCTTATATGGCTATGTTCATTATGTCATTAATTTAAAATAGGAAGTTTATCGTAACTATTGATAATCTAATGCATGTTTAAGATTTCCTAAACAAACACTATAAAATAATGAACAATTCCCAGAAAAAATGCTCTCAAGTGAACATGAAAAAAAAAAAAAACGGTCAATAAACATGAGGAAAAAAAAAAAAATAATAATTTAACTTTTTACCTTCTTGTTCTCAATTTTTCTAATTTTTTTTTCAAAATATGTATAAAGAAGGTAAAGACGAAGTGAAAGAAAATAACACCAAAAACAACAATAAAAACAACTCTTTAATTATAGAGGCAGAAAAAGTAGCGATCAATGGTATTATTGAAGGTATTAATGATATTCTTAAGGTTACTGTTGAGGCTCTCTCAAATGATAATGATAATAATAATAACGAAGAAGTGTAAGTAAAACAAAATCAATATAGTAAAAAGTAGAGAAAACTTTAATTATAATCTTATTTTTTCATTTTAGTCGTGAAATGGCTCGACGTAAATCACTTGTTTTGTCAAAAACAAAATCATTATCCGAAATTAGTAATAAATTTTATTGTCTATTATTTAATAAATTTATATTATTAAACTTTTTTTTGATAAAAGAATTAAAAGAATCCAATAGTATTAATATTAATTTATTAAATTAAAAATTTTTAATTATTATTAGTAAAAAAAACGGCGCCAGTATTAACAACAAAAGTAGATGGAGAATCATCACGCCAATCATCACGTCAATCTTCACGTCAACCTCCTTCGCGTCAACCTCCTTCGCATCAACCTCCTTCGCGTCAACCTCCTTCGCGTCAACTTCCTCCGCGTCAACTTCCTTCACGTCTACCACCTTCACGTCTACATCCTTCGCGTTCACATACTTCGCGTCAACCTAATTCGCGTCAACCTAATTCGCGTCAAACTCCTTCGCGTCAAACTCCTTCGCGTCACATTCCTTCACATCAAACTCCATGTCAAAGTCCTTCACGTCAATATCCTCAATATCCTTTAATTCAACCTTCAAGTCAATCTCCAATACGTTGTATTTACTGTTCAGAAGGTCATTGGATTATTCATTGCCCGAAAATTCCAAAAGAATACAGGGGTTGTGCGTAAATTGCTGGGCATCAGATAGTCACCAAGCTTTAACTTGTAAATCAAAAAAAAAGGCCGGAGCCTTGGTCCTAATTTTTTTTTATTTTTGTAAGTAAAATTTTCAAATGATTAGTTACTAATTTTTTGAAATTTAAAATTAATTTTTATACTTTTTTCAGAATCTACTAGAAATCCGATTGGGGTCGGATTTCCGGGGTTGGACTTTTTATTTTCAGAATCCGATTGGGGTCGGATTTCCGGTTTTATTTCAGAATCCGGATTCTTTTTTTAAATTGAGAGTAATCCGATTGGGGTCGGATTCCAGTTTTATTGGATTCTTTTTTTAAATCTAGAGTAATCTGATTGGGGTCAGATTTCCAGTTTTTTTCAGAATCCGGATTCTTTTTTTTAAAAATCTAGAGTAATCCGATTGGTAATCCGATTGGGGTCGGATTTCCGGTTTTACTTTCAGAATCTGATTGGGTTGGATTCTTTTTTTTGGAGTTTTTTTTTGTTAAATTTTTTTTTAATTTTAATAATAAAATTTAAAGTTGATATTTTGATGACCTAGGGTCAAGGATCATTAATAATATTTTTAAAAAAATTAATTTATATATGACTCATAAAAAATATATCATTTCCATGCAGATTTCTTATAAGAATGGTGTATAATTAAAAGAATCGATATAAATAAAATTACAATTGTGGACCCGTTAATACCTACATATGACTTTATACAATAGTAAATTGCGCTCTACAAATTACAATTATAACTAGCCAGTATTTTATGTGAGTGTACCCACCGTAGCACAGTTGAGTTGTAGTGTAACGGATTGGTAACGTGATCATCTGATTTTTTTATTTTTTTTATTTATTATTCTTTTTATTTATTGAATTTGTTATAATGCTGTTAAATAAGAAGTAGAAACAGTTTTTTGTTGATTGTTTTATGAGAACATGTGGAAGTCTGGCATTCGTGAATGACGTTAGATCGACCATAAATGCTGATCTGTCGAGATGAGTTATGTTGACATTGTCTCATGTGGAGCACCTGACCAGGAGAACGCAACTCAGATACACTGTTCAGGTAGGTTTAGTACGCTGGTAACTACTCCTATGGTACCGTTACATATACCGTACTCATCCAGGGAATTATTTAGGTACATCACGCGAGCCCCTAGTTTAGTATAAATTTACTTAAAAAAAAAATATATATATTTTAGATTTGTAGCTTCTTGTAATTACACTATGCCAAATGTAAACTGGTGTTTAAGTTTATCCACTTCCCTAACCCTACCATCACTCTAATTACCCAGTGCTTGTTACTTATAAACAGGTTGCTATTCTTAAATTTGCATTATGGTTAAGCCAAAGTTGTTTATAGGAGTTTACTCCGTTACTTCCAAGGCGATAATAGTGTATTATATACTATATATATCATTTAATATATAGGATTCTTTGTATTTTATTTATTTATTTATATAAAAAGTTAATGAAATTCTAAATTATATATTTAATTAATAAAACTAAAATATATTTTGATTGGCAAAAACGAAAAATTTTTAAATTGTCATGTTCAATTGAAACTTTAAATTGTTTAAATGAAATATTCATCTATTTCTTTAAATTGCTAATATATAATTTGCGTTCACAATTTGTAAAAAAAAATTAATAATTCACTGTACAATTGATCGCTTAATTTTAAAGAATTTCATATTGAAAATTGTCTATTTAAATCACGTAAAATCATTGGAAGATCTTTGTCTAATATATTACTCACATGATTTTTGTTTGTAATACATGTAATACAATAATTTTTATAAATTGAAAGCGCGTTATAATACGGTAAAATCACAGAAATGGCTACTCAAGGTATTTATCAAATATTATATAATTAGCCGTTTATTTTTAATCTTTGTACATAAGATTTGTAATTTTTAGATTGTGATAAATTTGATAAAATTAAGAATAAGGATAATAGAGATTTCAAACTAGCAAGTAAGTAAAAACTTAGAATTTTTGTAACGGATTTTGGAAAAATTGAATTTTAATATATATATATTTTTAATAGTACCATTGCATGAAAATGATCCTAGTTATGCAAAGGACATTTCAAATGATGTATCTATATCTTTTTTAGATTCAGCGTTTAATTTTTTTGTCGAGCTTGAGAAATCTGCTTTTAAAAGTGTTGTTTATTCACACGGAAAGGGTTTAGAGTTAAAACACCCTGCAGGATTAATGAATTTTTCTGTACCAAATATTCAAGTAATAGAAACAGCTGCTAGAAGGACACGAATTTCTGAAAGTGATAAAAATAATATAGCCGGTTATAAAGTATCATTTACATCACCAACAAATCAACTTGATTCTAGTATCATTAAAATAGGATATGATATTAGAAGATTTTTACCTTTAATTAAAAAAGTTCCTGAAATTGTACCAATATTCAATAATTATGGAACTAATTATCAACAAATAAGAGAATCACTTCTTAAATATCTTGAAGAATCAAAAGATGGAGATCAATTTGATTATAGCAAATTTCCATTTTGTAAACGACCTAATTTAGAAGATTTTACTTTGGATATTACAAACTCAAATAGTAATGAGCGTATTACTGCTCAAAATTACTTATTGTATCAAAAACCTGGATTTATACCTATAATCCCATGTCCAAAAATAATTTCTGATGAAGAAATTGCTAACCTTTCTGAAATAGAAGCAAATATCAAAAAAAGCGAGGTAAATATTTTAAAATATTATAGATTTCTTATTTAAAAAATAACTTATCTGTTATGCTTTTTTTTAAATATAATAGGTCATAGAAAAATTGAATATTCACATGTTCCATTGTGCTAAAGGATCTGGAGTTTCAAAAGATGTAGTTGAAATTGAACGAAGGTGAAAATTACGATTTGCAATTGAATTCTGGCGTAGTTATACGAAGTTAGAAGATTTTTGTTACCATAATTTTCCAAGGCAAAAGGGGAGCGTTCATCATCAAAAGCACGTGAAGTTGTTGAAAAATTTGCAGAAAATATAAGAGAAGAATTTATCTTAAGAGAGTTTAACCATATAAAAGCTGTGGCCCCACATGTAACATCATTTATGAAAGAGATTAATTATGAATGGAAAATAATTGATCTTTTTGAAGAGCTCAAGTATGGCTTTTTTGAAACAACATTAAGTAATAATAATATTAGAGGAATTTTTCTTCATTTAATTAAAACAGGTAATGTGATTACTTTGAAAGATTATCAGGTTATTAAAGAAAGTGAAAAGCGGTTAACTAGAGCACAAAAGCGCAAACAAAATAATAATGGAAACAAAAGAACTAAACAAATAAAAGATAAATAAAATAACATATATATAGATAAAAAATAAATATATAAAACTAGATATAAATAGAAATAAAGGTTTAAGACTTTAAAAAATAGTTAAAACTATAAATTTATTTGTGAAAATTTATTTGTTAAAAAGATCAATAAAATAAAATTACTAAAAGTATAATTTATAGATTTTCAATGGTAGAATCATCAACTTCATTTTCTCTATCTAAAATATAATATTTTGAATTTATCTTCATAAAGCCTATACAATGATCAATACATCTAATATCAATAAATTCAAATGAACAAAATTTAGTAAAATATTTGCAATTGTATTTGTCTGTAATAATTTTTGATACACATTGTATGTATGCTAGCATTTTTATTTTACCATTATAATTGTGTATCAAAAAATAAATAACTTTGGCATATATATTAGTATATATAAATTCTGGAGGAACATTTGGTCTATGTGCATATTTATCAATAGTACGACGTGCCTATAAGATAAAACAATAAGTTTTATAATATTAATAAATATGAAAATATACATCTTACCTGAATTGAATAATTATTTCTTGAATGTAATTTATTTTGTTTAATCCATTCACTACTAATTGTATGCCCATCTTTTGTTAAGAGCCTGCCATATTTAACACCATGAAATTCTAAATCCTATAAAGTAAATAAAATTAATAAATCAAATAATTATTTTATTATAAGCATAAAAACATTATTTATATTAAAATTTACCTTATCAGAATAAAATTTCTGTAAAGCCTTTGATTCCTTTTCATTAAGTATATAATTATATGATGGCCAATAAAATTCTTCGTCATCATAACCTTCAACAGCTCCATAAACTTGTTTAAGTGACCACTTTTTTTGATCAGAATTTGATAGTATTAATTTTCCTTCTTCAACATACTGTAAATGATTAAGCTGATCTAATAATGTTAAATTATTCGTTAAATTAGTGTATGGATGTAAATATGAATGAACCATTGGCAATAACATCCCACATAACCTTTCCATGGGGAATTGCCAATAGGCCCAACATGGTCCAGAATATTCAATATTTTTGCCAATATGTAAAAGGTAATGAAAGCAAATTCTGCATGCAGAAAGACGCTCTTGATCTTGTTTAAAGTATTCACTATTATTAAATTAAGTAATAAGTATTGCTATTATTATATTTAAGCAAAATTAAAAAAATTTATTGTTAATTTGATTAATTTACTTACTTTTCATAATAATTATAAAATGTTGTTAATGAATCATTAATTTCTTGTAAATCTTCATTTGATATTACATATTTTAAAGAAAGTTTAACTGCTTTTACATAGTTGATCTATCCATTTATATGTCTAATAATTATTGCATTAAACTTATTATAAGGCCAAGTAAATAAAATTATTCGTTTCTCATAACCGGGCGGGTCATGTAAATGTTAAAAAAAGATAAAAAAATTTATTTTATTTAGTCATGTGATTTTAGTTTTGACCAATCATAATCATAAAAAAATGATTTTTTTTTCCACCCGGTGACCCGGGCAAAAAATTTATTAAATCAACCAATCAATTTCTAGGAATCGGTTAAATTTTTATATTTTTTTTCCGGGTGGCCGGGTCAAATTTAGCAATTTTTTTTCATGAGAAACGAATAATTTTATTTCTTTGGCCTAATATGTAAATAAAAATAATTTGTATATGAATAAACTTACTTATCAATAAAAATATCTTTTAAAAGTGGGACCGAAAATAACTCAATCCAATTACGCCATTCAATAGCTTTAAATCCAGTATGATATTTTGATATGTCTCTAGGAGCTTGACCAATTTCAAGAGGAAGGCATTTTTTACTTTCTTTCATCAAATTTCCAATATATTCTAACTCTTTTTTTGTTAAATTATAGGAGTTGTCATCATGTTTATTATCTTTAAAAAACCCACCAGACCAATGTAAATACATAAGCGGAGCTACATTTTCGAAATATAGATGCATTATATCTATGGGGAAAGACCAAGGAAATTCAATTCCTTTTAATTTAAATAATAAATTTGCACCCTTAATTCCTGAAATATAATTAGTAATTAATACATTTTTTATTTTAATTCAATTAAAAAAAAAATTTTTTTTTTTTACCCGTATCTTTTATAATTAATTCTTTTCTTGATTTATTAGTTTCCAATGATAATTGATTGATAATATGTTTTGTTTCTTCATGTGTTCTAAGTACCAAATTTTTGCACTGTTTATTTAATGGAAAATATATATGCCGGTTAACTGTACTATATATCCCAAGTAAATTACAGAATCGGCAACCTTTGTAAGCATTATGACCAGCTAAATTAAGACATTTGCTTATCGCTGGTATATCCCCAGTGCAATGAGTAAGATATGCTTTTAAAAGAAAGTTCTGCTTTGTGTATCCATTAAAACATGGAATACCCTCTAATTATAATATGTTATAAAAGTTATAATTAATTCTACTATTAAAAATATTAAACTTATATATACCTTCAAGCGTTTGTAGTTCATTTACAATTGGATAAAGATATGAATCCATATCTTTAGGAGCATTTGGGCCTGGAATTACCATTGTAATAAGTAAATTTTCCTTTTTAACTCTTATTTCAGGACGTAAATTATTATTAATGAACAAAATGACCCAACAGTCATTTGTTTTTTGTTTAAATAACTGGAAACCGTCAAGAGATAGTGAAAGTGCTATGTCAGTTGGATTAGCAAACAGTCCTTGGTTTACTAATTTTTTATATAATCTTATCATAAAATTATAAATTAATTAATAAAATCTGCATTAATAAATAAATTTGAATATAAATTTAAATAATTACTTACCTTCCATCATAAATATCGCCATAATTATCATTATCACTTGATGTTGAATTTGTATAATTATATCTATATAAAAATTCCTTTGCTCTTTCTGAATTATTAAACTGAAGTTTTAATCGCTCTGTAAGAGAGAAAAAACTTGTAATATTAACCGGTTTATTATTTGAATCAAATCTTGACTCAGAACATAAAGGACATTCTTTAAGTAAATGATAATCGCCAGTAAATGCAACACAACTATTTTTACAAGTGTCTATTCTAATAGATGTTAAATCAACTAATTGGTGAAGTTTCTTTTGTAATTTATATAACGTAGTTGAATAACCAATATTACTTAATATGGAATTAAATGCTGCATCAGTTAATCCATGTTTTACTTTTGTTTCTAGCAGCTTTAAACCAATAGAAACATCTGTATAAAATTACAAATATATAAATTTTTACTATTAAAATATTTTTAAATATTATATAATATAATTACCTTTGTCATTAACCTTTTCATGATTGTTATCATCATTTTCATAAGTGTTTTCATAAATATCATCGTTATAATTATCACTTTCACTTTCTGTATTGCTAAGATTATCTCCGATTTCTTCTGCATTTTTAGAACTTTTAATTTCAGTCATTTCTTCTAACATTTCGGTATCATTATAACTATCAATCGATTCATTTTCCAGATTTTTCAGCAGATTTTCATCATTTTCAATACCGGTCATTATGATATCCTTAGTATTATCAATATAGGCCATTACTTTATTTTCATCAATGCCATGATCAATTCTTTTTAAACTTCTGGTATTTTCAATCATATCGCTATCATCACTTTAATTTATTTAAAATTAACTTAAAAAAATAATATACGTAATATAATAATAAAATTACATTTATAATCATACCTGTATCTACTTTCTTCATATTCCTCTTCTAGTATATCATCTGAATTTGACGTATTCTCACTTTCCTCACTTGTAATATCTTTATTAACATCTATAGAATTTTGCTTTATTAGATGACTTCTATAAGTTTTTCTTCTTGAAAGAATTAATCCTTTTCCATCTGAAGAATTCCTTTTACATTTGTTACACTCGCAGAAATAACCCATTTTTTTATATAAAAAATAAATTTCTACAATATAATAATTTAATCGAATAACCGAAAAAAAACCAATAAATATAATTGGTAAGTATTATTACATCTAATCAATCTTGAGCAATATATAATTGGCCAATTAAAATGCTTACATTTATATCACATGACAAATCGCTTACTATTTTTTACTATTTAGTAGTATTTGATTTTTACGCGTGGGATCAACGAAAGTTTTTTTTTTACGTTTTTTACGTGTTATTTCAATATAAATACTCTTGTATTTTAATGTTTGATACTTTAACTTTTTTTCTTCGAGAAAAATGTCTTCTTCGTGAAACCTTACAATGCAAGACCTTTTAAACGTTTTAAATAACGCTAATAATAATGATAAACAAAATAATAATTTACAAACGCACGCTTCTTCGACTGAAACGCATGATTTAAGTTTTTATAATTTGTCTCCAGAGGTAAAATAATATATTATAAGGACATTAAATCAAACATAAATAAATATCTAAAAATCTATTATTAGATAATTTCGCTACCCATTCCGAAACAGTCTGGAAAGTATAACCTTCAAAAAGCTTTAGGTTTGAAAAACCAAAAACAAAGATGGTTGGGATATTTGGTTTGTAATGTTTTTATAATTATAAAATTTAAAAGCACATTACAAATTTTGTAATGAGCTTATTTAAACTTATACAGGAAACCATGAGAGACTGTATTTTGGAAAAAGGGGTGACTTTCGATGTAAGCTATAGGGAACAAAAGGCCCAAATAACAAATGGAATTGTTCGTGCTGTAGGTATAAAAAAAAAATATTTTTTTTTTGTCCACTAACTATTATTAATAGCTTTATTATCGGCAGTTTAAAAAAAAGGCACCAGACTTTCCGCCTACAAGAGCTGATTGGACAATTAAAGAACTGTTAATCAATAATTTTCAACGTTCTCGTAAGTTAATATTTATAAAATTTTATAATAATTTGTATTATTACATGATATGATTTGTAAAAATTATTATTTATTTATAAATTTAAGGTTACTTTAAAAAGAAGCGAGATAATAAAAATGCTAAAGTGGTTGTAAGTAATTCTTTGCTAAAGTTTTCGCATTATATAATATTATTTAATTTTTATATTTTTATCCAACATTAGGATGGAAATAGAAATTCAAATGAAGAAAATAACGAGAATCATGATTCTGAAATTGAAGAAACTAATAATTCTGAAGACAGAGGCGAACATGATTCTATTAGGTTTGTAATAAATTATATAAACTAATTCTATTGTTTTTTTTTTATTTAACAGTGTATAATAAAATTTACAAATTTTAAAATAGTGAACCAGTTCAGGATTCAACTAGAAGATCAGAAAAAGCTAAACAAACTACCGCTGTACAAAAAAAAGTAGTTAAACAAAAAAGGACGGTAAGTTATCTGTATTAATTTAGGATTATATTAATATTAATTTATTAATTTATTATTTTATTTCTTTCCTTTAGAATAAAAGATCTTAAATATTATTCAAATCTTCCTAAAGTATAACAACACCTTTGTTGAGTTCTGGATTAGTATATACTTAAAGAACGGGTCTAATAAGATAAAATAGCTTTTATTTTCATATCTAAAATACTTTTGAATAAAGCTAATATTGTTTTTACTCTATAAAGATCAAATATTTATTTTATTCTTAATTTATATGAATTTAGCATTTATCTTGCCATGGGCGTCCTTAACGTACAGTGGGGGTGCAATATTAATGTATATCGTACACATTAAGGAATCCTTTTTGCCATAAAATAAATACATATTAAATTATTCTATTTTTACCGATTAAATTACCATGAAATGCCTATGAAATTATATTTATTTCATTAAAAATTATTTTAAATATACTTATTTTATTTTTAATTTATACGAATTCAATATTTATAATATTCTATCTTTACTGTAAATGCCTATTAATTACCGTTGAAATGCCTATGAAATTATATTCATTTCATTAAAAAATTATTTTAAATATACTTATTTTATTTTTAATTTATACGAATTCAATATTTATAATATTTTATTTTATTATAATATGTTTATTAAATTATATTCATTTTATTAAAAAATTATTTACTTTATATTTTATTATACCTCTTATTTTATATTTTATAATTACTAATTTTATTTTTAAATATAATAATAAATAATATATACTTATTTCATACTTAAATAGGCGAAAATTCAAAATATTTTAAAAATCTAATATGCATTTTTTAAAAATATATTAAAAGTATTTTACAAATCATTATTATTTTATTCTAAATATACTATTAAATTAATCTTATAATATATGGAAATTTTAGCATAAAATAAGTGTAAAATAAGTACAAAATAAGTACAAAATAAGTATACATATTTCTACTAGGGTATATTTCAGTGGAGATATTCTTGGATTTTATGCTGCACGTTAACTACGTGTCGTTTATTAACTTTTATTATTAATTTTCAGTTCTTTATCAAATGGCCTCGTTAGCGAGCATTTGACATGAGATTGGTCTAGGTAGTTGTAAAACTTAGTTTAGTTGATTTTACTTTGTGACGAAGACTATTTGGGCAGTGTATTTCACTTTAAATTCATCATGTATCACTTTTTATTTATAATTAGTATATAGAATTTAATAAAGTTTAATAAATAACGTGTGGCTTCAAATTGAAGTCACTTTGCCATAAAAAAAAAAAAAAAACCTTCCAGAATTTCCTTTTTAGTTTTGGCAGGCAACCTTAGTGATAGCATTCCACAAAATTCCATTTTTGTAATTTTCAAAAAATTTTCATCTCAGGTTTTGTGTAATATAATTTCTAAAAAAGGAAATTCCATAAATTTGGCCGGAATTATGTTTAATTCAGCTTGACTCAATTTTATTAAATTATTAACTCAACTCGAATTGATTCGATTTGATTGTAATTTTCAATTCGATTTAACTTGACTCAACTCGACCAACTCACGAGTCAACTCAACTCATTTTGGAGCACTACTTGAGCCAGCTCTAGAGTTCTGAATAGGTCAGGTCAGATCAGGTTTAGAGTTCCAAATGGGTCAGGTCAGGTCAGATTAATTGATAAACCTGACCTGAAATTTTTTTTCAGATCAGGTCAGGTCAGGTTATATCAGATTATCTGTTTGGCTTATATATAACAAACAATATAGTTAACATTCTTTGAATAATTTTACCTCAACGTTCATATCGGATAATTTTGTTGCTGACTTTGTATAATGTTTATCCGTACATAATATTTCCATCCCGCATGCCTAATATTATTAAAAAAGTTAGACACTAAAGACATATAAAGTTTCAAATAGTCCTTCGCTACGCTCTGGATATTAGACACTAAAGACAAATAAAGTTTTTAAATGGTCCTCTAATCCTTTTAAAACTTCAGCAATTACATAACCAGTATCATCTACAGTAAGATTCAGGATGAAACCCAGAGAGATAGTTTTTACCCGTGCTATTTTTTTTTGCCTATAGTATCAAAAATTCTAAACATTTTTCGGGCTCTTTCCATTCTTTTTTTATGTTTTTGTATAGACTAATAGTGGAGTGAAAGTAATGTTGCACAGACTCTTACAAATTGTAATATCATGTAATTTACTGATACAGCAAAGATTCTTCACGTGAGATATTACAATACAAGCAAAAAATTAATGACAGACATCACATTTCAAATATATCAATACTTTATTTAATGAACAAAAGTTATATCTAATTATTCTTGTGAAACATTCCGCATTTATCTAATTTCAGTCTTAAATCATAACTATTCTTTCTTGGTATTCATGAGTTTGTGATTGAATTGCAAACTTAGTACATTCATAATTATGCTCAACACTAATTAAAACGATGTCATGAGTATCATAAGGAATATTAAGATTGTCGTGACTATTTGGAAGGAAATTAACAATACATATCTCCATATGGAAATAATCAGAATATACCCAAGCCTGCTTAAACGCTTCTTCAAACTTCTGCTCCGATGTTACACCACATTTGAGTGAGTAGGCAGTTAAATTTTGATCACCATCAGTTATCATTAGGTCAAGTAGATAATTACCACCAGATTTTAACTCCATCAAGCACATCATTTCCGGTTTCGGTAATAAACCATTAAAGATACTAAAAAGTGATGCTTGCATAGCCCTTTCTCTTGGACCATGTATATTTTTAGCCCTTTTATCAGTAATTGTGCGAGGATCAATTAACTTTAGTCCAAGTTCTAATAAATCAACGGGATCACTTGGTACTTTGTCTCTGGATAGTCTTTTTGATGATGTAGGAAAAGTGGCATTAATACAAACACGTAATATAATACAGCTTGTAAACCCAACTTTATTTATGTCCATAATATAAAGAATTCCGATGTCCAATAACTTATTATCTATATCATCGAGGTTCGTTAAATCACCTAATTCCATGCTCCAATGATCTTTCTGATAATCTGTGAGTTCGCGAAGATATTCCTTTTCATTGTCATCCATTTCTTCTATTTCATCTTTCAACTTAGTATGAGTCACATTCATGTACCTTTCAAGGTTTCCTTGCAAAACTCTTGTCCACTTATCAAGGGTTGGCCGAAAATCATAAAAAAGCTTCAATAAAATCATGAAAGATGCCGGGTGTCCACAAGATTCTTCTATAATCTTGGTTCTCAAATCAAATAAAACACCATTTTTATCTAAGTTTGATTGATATAGATTGAAGAGCTCGCCCATCTCTTGAATGCTGAACATTGGCATTTGTTTGAATAAGGCCTTGTTGAAAGGCGAAATAAGTTTGTCACTGTCACTTTTCTTCAAATCCACAAGCTTAAAGGTGCCCACAGCAACATAATATATATTCATCGCATTTGAAATTTCTCGGAAGAAATCTTTAGTCACCTCACAAAGCTCTGGCTTTGTGAAGATATATTGGAATTCGTCGATAAGACTATACAGTTTACGACATAAATATTCGGAATTTTTATTTTTATGCATAAAGGAGTGCTGTCACACCAAGTCTTGTGCAACCAAAATAATAATTAAAATGGAAGTTGATCAGCCCTTTTTAAACATAAATATAGCGTGAAAAATTCTCACCTGATTGTTTATCAGCAGCAAAATAAAATCATGGCACCCACTTCGGTATTTGAAATGCAAAGGTTGACTGTTAAGGAGCTATGGGATAATAATATACGAAAACCCTCTGAAATAATTAAAATGACTGGTTTTCCAAAGTCTACAGTATATGACATTATCAATCGTCTAAAAAAAACAGGAAGTGTTGAACACTTACCCGTTCCTGGTCGTCCTCTTGTTCTGACACCAAAAAAACGTCGATATCTTGGCCGTCTTCTTAAAAATGATAATGCAACAACTTCAGCTTTAATGACAACAAAGCTGAATAATTTGTATCCAGATCTTAATGTATCAACCCGAACTGTACAACGTACTCTTAAAAATAAACTTAATTATATTGTTTGTAGACCATGGTCTGTTCCTCTTCTTAAAGAAAGTCATGTTGAAGCTCGTCTTCAATGGGCCTTAAATCACATCCAAGATGACTGGACTCACACAATTTTTTCAGATGAAAGTACATTTCAGACATTTCGTAATACTCAAATTGTACGTTACAAGGCTGGAAACCCACATCCAGTACATCCTATGGTAAAACATCCATATAAGGTTCATGTTTGGGGTGCATTTTGCCGCCAAGGGCCAATTGGAGTTGCATTATTTACAGAAAACATGAATTCTGCTAAATACCGTGAAATCCTTCAATCTCAACTACTTCCTAATGCTTATCATGCTGGTTATGGATGGAATTTTCAGCAGGACAATGCGCCAATGCATACCGCGAAGCTTACTCATCAATTTTTTGTGATTAATAATGTTCCGGTTATTGATTGGCCTGCAAACTCACCTGACTTGAACCCCATCGAAAATTTATGGGCGATTCTTAAAGGAAATGTAGAAAGAAGGGTTAATAATTGGGTTATGAAAAAAAAATCACTTGGTGCTAATGATTTTCAAGGCATAATTCAGCAAGAATGGGATAATATTGATAAAAATCTCTTCTTTAGTTTAGCAGATAGCATGTCAGATCGGATTAACATGGTCATAGAAAATAATGGTTATACGATAAATTACTAACTTTTAAAGTATGTTTATCTGCACATCTTAAGCTATTAATGGTATAAATTTGAAATAAAAAAAATAAAATTTATTATGTTTTTACATATTGTGATAAAATTCCGGATATTTATGTCGTGAACTGTATAAAGGATCCTTTAGATTGTAGATACGTGCAAAAGTTTTTGTTTCATCAAGCGTTTCCTTAAAGAGCATAAATGACATGTAATCGTAAAACCCTGTTCGCACGTTGGTTAATATGGATCCTTTTACACCTGCCATCGTGAGATGCACAAAATCTAGGCTTTTACCAATAAATGACGTCCTGAGATGGAACAGAAAAGTCGACTTTCCGCTTTGATAAGGACCATGAATAACAAACGATTGTCCATTCAAAAAAATAGATTCCACTTCTTGAAAGAAATTTCTAGAAATCATCAATGAACCCGAAAGTGGTTGTAATGGTCCATCTGTCGTTATGATATTATTCTCTCGTGGTCTTTTCCTAGCTAATAAAAACGGAAATGATAAAGTTAAGAAATAAATAAGACAATCAGTATAGGTTTAAAGTATTAACAATTGTATAGCAAAGCAAAAATGAAACACGGTTATAAAAATCAAGCCAGGTTACGCGTTCACTCGCGTTGACTAATTACGGCTCACTTACCACTGGGTTGCTCTACGATAACGCGAATGTGTTTTTTGGGCGGTTCGACGATAAGAAGCAGGAAAGAAAAGCACAAGAATAAGTAAGTATTCGGTATTATTGGCGAATATGACGCGCAAGAGAAGAAGGAAAAAAATGGTATGACTCACCAGTAACGGGAACGTCAACAATAACTTGAATTTTATCACTTACAACGTTTTGAAATGTATTTCTAACCGTATCGGCTGGATCTTCTAATTTTTCGTTTAAGTAGGGTTCAATAGCAGTTTTTTTGTTCCTAAGTATATTCAAAGCAACATTGGTTCTCCATAGAATTAGTTCGTCGGCATCAGCATTAACAAAATAATTTGGCTTCGCCTCCTTGATAACTTTTTTAAGGTCGTCAAGATCGTTACCCAATGCAATAGTAATTTTGAAAATAGAACGATTTTCACGAACGATACACCAAAGATTAATAAACGTTCCAGTTTGTGCACTATTAGACATGTTGTATCACGAAGAATGGATAAATGGGGAAGAAATTTCTTTTTCGTAAATCTGGAGAGTTTGATATAAATAAGGCACAGATTGATAAATTATTTCAAAGTCACATGATTCCGATTGTTACTTTTTTTTTGCAAAGAAACCTGAAACTTTATTGATTATTTTATAGAAAAATGCTAGAGAAGCAAATTAAATGTATGATGCTATCAAAGAGAGGGAGTACGCGGATCCTAGGCCATTTAATGCGAGTTCCAGCATCAAGTTATTTCTTTGCTCTCTCACGTTTACGAAAAATATCTATAGCTAATTTGTTTCTATTGCTAATATTTCTAATTACAAGATTCTCATCCCTATACTCTTTTAGTCTTTTTCTACACTAGATTTTCGAAATAAATTATTCCACCCATGTCTACAGGATTTTTGTCTATCTTTATCTCTCCCAAACACGCAGATTATGTAAAATAATATTCCCCGTAATGAAACTTCTCGGAGATTAAGTAATTTCGAATCTATGGATAAATTCGGGAGATTAGCAACTAAAAAAATATTTCCGATTCATACTTACTATTATTATTAATTTTGCGCAACATTACATTTCGCCTGAAATTTATTACTTAATGCATTACAATAAAGGTAATTCGATTTTTTTATTGCCAGTACGATACTGCGCCAAATTTTGTTGAGAAGCGTAATGTTAAGGCATTCATGTGAGTAATTTCACTGCGCCTATTGTACGCGTGATGATTGTCAAAGATTTCTTGGCGAAGATCAAATCGCCGATATATAACAAGAAGAGTAATACATCCGTTTTATTTTGGAACATCTATAGAGGCGGGAAAATCGATTAACATTGTGATGACATGTTTCAAGAAGTAGCCGAGCAATAAACTAACTTACTTTATTATGACTTTGTGGAAAATGCAAGTTCGTTTAATTGTTAATATCAATGATTTTAATAATGGTAAGCTTGATTGATTTGAATTTTTTTTTGGCTTGATTTTTATTTTACTTGCATGAGGCAGATAAAGGATTCATAAATAAATTTTATAAAGTAAATAGGGGTGTTAAAATATCATCCGAACTGCGAGTACAAAATAAATCTGACCAATAAAATTCAACAAGTCACGTTACCGAAATTTTTTGGTGTTTCAGGAATCAGGACTTGGTAGTTAGATCAGCTTATAAACAAATCAAAATAACCATCATCTTTATGCATGTTAACGCGAATATTAATCGCTTGGCAGAAATATTATACTTAAAAAATACGACGATATTCATCTGAATTTTTTTTTAATGAAGATTTATTCTTTCATTATTTAACGTCTTCTCCCATTACCGTATAAAATAAAATATTCTGTCAAGCTGGCGACTTCAAACCCTCAACATTTTCAACCGTCTTCCAGTCGTCTTCCCCTAAACAAATAACAACACCCCCTCGAAAACGGTCACCACGTTCGCGTCTAACTACCTACTCCTACACATTTGAGGCTGACATCGCCACCTTCTCGTGCAAAGTCGGCAAAGTCCGTTGGTGAGTCGCCTAAAACCCCTATTGCTTCACAGAGTGATTGGTTCAAAATATTCAAATCGTGTAAAAAGAAAAGCCCTAAAAGTATCATCAAAAAAGAGATTTTGAAATTGGACGTGATTGCAAACGATTGGATTTGTCCGGCTACTCCATCGAAGGGAAAAAAGAACAAATTTCAGGTTTATTTCTAGGATTGATATTTAAATATGTTAATAACTTCAATACGAGTTCTAACGATATTAGCAAAAATATTTATTAGTGCGATCGATTTATTCCAGTACGTGAAACAATGGGAGAACCATCGGAACAATTAAAAATACCCCAAAGAGAATCTGGCAAGGAACAATATTTGAACAGTAATGAACTTGAATATCAGGAAAAATTAGCAGAAGCATGTGGTGTTTCTCTCGAAAAACGTATTTTAGCATTCAATCTCCAACCTCCGTCGAGCCAAAAAGATGATCTACGTCAGTTGTATAACCAACCAATGAAACTTTCTACAATTCAATTTAAAAGACTATATTGACATCACCGGAACGTGTTCTTGATGCGCCAGGCTTATTGGATGATTATTATTTGAATTTATTAGATTGGAGTATCAAAAACATGGTTGCAATTGGACTGGATCAATGCGTTTATATTTGGAACGCTGATACTGGAGGCGTAACAAGTCTTGAACGAACTAATCCAAGCGATTAAATTGCTAGTTTATCATGGTCTTACAATGGTGATTATTTAGCTGTAGGAACAAGCGATGGTGATATTCAAATTTAAGATGTTTTAAAAGAGCAAAAAATTAGATCTATGTTGGGACATACAGCACGTGTAGGAGTAATAACATGGAATAAACATATTATCTCTTCTGGATGTAAAGATGGAAATATTTGGCATCATGATACCAGAGTTGCTCAACATAAAGTAGCTGAGTTGATTGACCATACTAGTGAAGTTTGTGGATTAAAATGGAACTCTAACGGCGATCAATTGGCGAGCGGGGGTAACGACAATCGGGTGAATATTTGGGACGCAAGAGCAAGCACTCCAAGTTTAACAAAAAACAATCATGTTGCTGCTGTAAAGGTAAGATTATGATTTACAACTTCTAATTTAAAAGTAATTATAATTTAATTTCCTTGCTATTTTGGACTTAATAAGGCTTTAGCATGGTGCCCTTGGCAAAGTCATATTCTTGCTTCAGGAGGAGGTTCTTATGATCGGCATATTCATTTCTGGAACGTGAGCTCTGGCGCTCGTGTAAAATCTATTGATACAGGATCTCAAGTGACTTCGATCATTTGGTCCAAAGATTTTAAAGAACTTTTATCAAATCATGGATTTCCGAATCATAATATGACGATTTGGTCTTATCCTACTCTAGTTGCAGCAAGTGATGAGAATTTGAAATTTTGGAGGGTATTTCAAAACGCAAGAAAAAATGAAAAATCTAAAAACAGTGATAAAGAAAATACAGGATCTGTCTTTGGCGGATGTACAATTCGTTAAGCGGACGGACAAAGTTATTAATAATGATAAATAAAATGGATTTTTTTTTATAAATTTACTGCTCATTGATAATGCAATTGATAATGCTCGATTTGATTCTAAATTTCGCAATTACAGCCATATTTGGGGGTCGTCTAAAGCCGTATTCGATCATGTGACTTAACATTTTATGAATAAGCCATTTTTTTATGAACTAAGATTAATGTAAGTATGAAAGTTATAGAATAGGTGTATTTTGGCCTGCTTTACAAGTTTACTTAGTGAAAAAAAGCTGGTTTTAAACACTGTTTTTGACTTTACATATAAATGAATAATCTTTGCCGATCATATCCAAAAATGGATAACGAAAATGAAAAAATTCAAATAAGTCAAAAACGGTGTTCAAAACCAGCATAGCGGACATCATTTGTCGATCATTTATTCAATTTTATCACTTCGCTATAATTAAATTGATTGGCTTCGGGTTGAAAATTCTACATATTAATATATACTCAAATTTTACAGACAGCTTAACATTCATTTAGATTTACTGAATATTAAATTTTATCAAGATCGCATCATTATTGGGCAACTTTTACTAGTAATAACTTTTTAAATTCTAATAAAATGCCATTTTATTAAGTTAATTGGAAAATTTTACATAATAATGTATGCTCAAATTTTATAAATATCTTAATATTAGTTTAGATTTACTGCTAGTTAAATTTTATTAGAATTGCATCATTATTGAATAAATTTTATTAGTAAGTAACTTTAATTTTTAATAAAAATGCATAAAAATTGGCTTTATTTAAATAAATTATAAACTTTTGTAATCTGCCCATTGTTAATATAAAATTTCAAATTGATTATCTATATTTTGTTCTAATCTTTCTAAAATACTCTGCATGTTCTCATCATTATTTTCATCTAAACTATCATTTGTTTCCTCTTCAACTAAAGGTATTTCATTATCTTTTAGTGGAGTAGTTAATCTTGTTGTTAAGGCACTAATATTTTTTTGAACTCCAAATGATAAATAGTTAAAACAGTAATTACATTTACCATTATATAAAGTTAAACATTCTTTATGAAAACCATGCCCACAAATCAAAACAATACCATTAAATGAATCTATATTATTGGGTAATAAACATGTTTCTGCATCACAAAATTTATCATTAGCAGGTTTATATTCTGTATTCCATGCTAATGAAAGAACTTTTACATCTACATTAATTTCAAAGCTGGAAAGTATAAAACTTGGATATTTACTATTATTAATTTGGTTTGTATTTCCAATATTATGATAAATTTTATCAAAAAGTGAAAATAAAAATAAAGAAACTTTTTTTTCTAAATAATTTAATTTATCTTGAGAAATAATTGGATTTCTTGAATTAATAAAGGATTCTTTAAAAGAATTATTATTTTTTTCAGCATCAATAATTTTTGCTTTTTGAATAATTTGCAATGCACTATTTGATTCAACAGTCTGGCTTCTGATAGAACTATGAAAATTTTCAACAAAATAATCATTGAAAATTGGTAAATTATTTTTTAAAGTATTAGCCATAGGATGATTATTAAGTTCCCAATAAAATACATCACTTAAAAATACAAGTGGTGCTTTATTGTAATTATGTCTTCTTAATCTTTGAAATAATATCCAAACTCTTACAACACTTTCTAAATATCCTTCAAAGTATCCACTTCTGAAAAGTACTGCATATATATCTAAAGTAAGTGGTATAGAATTATCCAACAAGTCAATCATCATTCTATATTCTGCATCTTTAGAATTTCCAAAACGATGTATAATAACATCTCGAATATTTTTCCAACCATTAAATGTTAAATCTAAAATAAGATTGATTACAGTTTGTTTTGGTTTTTGAGATAATACTTTTTTATCTCCAAATAAATCATGATATAACATTTCAAAAAAAAAAATGATATATTTGAAATAAAGTTTCTCTACTATTTAAAGAAATATGAAGTGGTCCAATTAAAGGAATTAAACTTAATATTTGTTCTGAAATTCCAGATGCTATTTCTTTATTAATTCTTAATGTTATAGCTCTTCTTATATTTACTTATCCTGGCCAATCAGCAATTATAGGAATAACATAATGGTCTAAATATTCAGTATTTTCTAACCTTTCAAATACTTTAAACAAAATGTTTGAGCTTTCAATATAATCTTTAGTACTATGTAATGGATGCAAAATAAAATCTACTAATTTGCTATTATTTAATGATCTTAATTCTTGATGTTCTTGAATGCGACCATCATAATTATGGATATTAAGATTTTCAACTCTATTTTCATAAGAATCTTCAATTAAAAATTGTTTTCATAATTCATTTTGTTCATAATAACTTTTACCTATTTGGTTCATAAAATGATTTTCAAATTTTTCAATAATTAATTTAGGATTAATTCCTTTAGGATTATGTATTAAAATATTATTTGTATTCTTGGAATATTAGAATTAGAATTTAATAATATTGTAACAAAATGAAAAATATTGTGTATTTTTAATAATGATGGTTTAGTACGACAATGAATATTATGATAATCATCAATATTTAAAATAAATATTTTTTCCATATTTTGTAAGCAATAATTATCAACAGATTGTTCATGTTCATCTGAAATAATTTTCTTTTTCCTATCTACTGTCTTTCTTATTACTGATAATCCTAGATTTGCAAGTGTATCAATAGAAGTAGCAGATACTCCAGAAGTTTGTAAATATGATCCAATTTCAACTTTAATTCCATTAATATATTTATTATTAATACTAGCTAAAAAATAACATAAAGAAACCAATTTTTCTTATTATTATTGGTTTTTTCTGATTTATTAGCAGGATTAGTTCCTTCATATAATTCATCAAAAAAACCAATTAAATCTGCATCTGCTATTTCTAATATATTTTTAAATTTATTAGAAGGGTAGTTATCAAAATCAAAGAACTATACCGCAAAAAATTAACAAGGATAGTTCCATTAATAAGGACGGAAAATCAAACTATTAATGTCCATAGTATAGTGTAGATAGTTGTAGGAATTTTTTCTTTCCAAACCGCTTTTCTGAATAATAAAGAGTTTATTACTATAAAATGAAGGAATAATTTCACGTATCTTAATTCGTAAGAAAAACGTACCTTCGATATAGAACTAAAAATATATTACGCAAAATAAAAAAAAAGAATCATTTATCCATATGAATAAAACAATGTTGCCGATCTCCTGAGTAATTGGTTTTAAATTGATTCTTCTACCGTGGTACCTAATTAACATGGAACTCACTGTATCACTACTGGTCTTACCATTTTCAATAGGTAGGTTGAGCCAAGTCGCAAGGACTTTGAAAAGCGCATCAAACTGGAAGCACTACAAGAAAAAAAATTTTTTTAAACATAATAAAAACATAAATTTAAAACATGGTAAACGCCCAAGAATGGTTGGATAATAACTACCCTATAAACGGCACTTGTATAAACGAGGATGATAAAGAAAATTATGGAAAAAGGAGGGAAGAGATAGTTGAGCTAGACATTAGTAACAAGAACCTAGAAGGTCCCTTAGCCAAGGACGGGGGTTGGATTAATCTCCGTAAGCTAAATATGTCTTTTAATAATATAACTCACGGTTCAGTTGGGCATAACAGTGTTAAAGATATGTCTAACTTGGAAGAAATTGATTATTCTCATAACTCTCGTTCGGGAACTTGGGGGTCACCAGCTTCATTTCCAAAACTTAAAAAGTTAAATCTCTCTAATAATTATATAAGGAAAGCAGACCTTGCTCACGCCCCAGAACTTACTCATTTAGACGTTAGTAATAATCAACTTGCTGAGTTAAATATACCAAGTAAAAATCTACAAGAATTAAATTGTTCGGATAATCCTCCCTTGACTAACTTATCTTTGGCTTCTGATTCTTCGCCTCAAGTTACTGGTGAGTGTGCAAAATTAATTGCACCAATTTCGGAATCTTTGAGTACTTCTGACAAAATTACTATCGGCACTAGTGTTGGTGGTAGCATTCTTGGACTTATTGTAGCGGTAATTTCTTTATGGTATACTTCAGAACGATTCAGAAGACTGTTCGGTAGAAAGTAAAGGGATACTAATCATTTATTAAACTAGCCCAAATTCTTAAATGAGAGTTAGAACTCACCTGTTAACTACGTTAACAGTTAATATTTACAATATATATAATATATGCTATAATGCATTTTTCTTGATTTTTTTTTGTGATTTTATTTTTTATTATTATACTAATTTTTTTATTGTAATTATAATAATCAATAGTTCCAAAATTGTTATATTATCAAGATTTTTTGATAAAAATTCCATATATAATAAAAAATAAAGTTATGCTTTATTTAAGAAATAAAAAACATTGCCGGAGCAACTAATACATAAAAAAAAAAATAATATTTGCGAATTACATCGCCATTACATAGTTTGAATAAAAAAATTTCCAACTACTCATTAGGGAAGAATTCGGATGTGGATACGGTCTTGATCATCAGGTGTCCTGTTGAAATAGGAGAAAATTCTGTCTTCTGTTAGCTAGATAAATTTGACGGAGAAAGTCATTATGATCGATTGGCCCCAACTTCTTTCTCGCTTCATTTTCAAGCTCAAAGACAGACTTGTTTGTCCTTAGAAATCTCGATCGCAAGAATTATGTGAGAAAAAACTCGCTCCCAAGCATACATAACTCACTGTACTTTGGGTTATTTTTATGGGCGGGAATGTTGGCTGAACTTCCACATACCACTACATGCTTTATATCTTGCTGGGAAAAAGTTAAGGAGATATGAGGCGTGATTAACATTTGTCATATGATGCCAAGAGCTCTATAAAAGCACATGAATACTGTTTCTTCAAACCTTTCACATGGAGATCTAACCTTCAAGACACGTAGTTGGTTTTACGCCCGGCGATCTCAAAATTGCGAAGTTCTCAGCCCTTCAAAACATGTGCTTTTGTCGGCACTATTAACTTATGGGGAAGGTCCTGTGTTGCAATTAAATGCTCTTTCACATTTTCTCACATTTGTTCGGGGAAAAATAGAGTGCTGGTTAGCATACACGACTTCTTTTCGATTATATCCAATGTCGTACAGACCTGCCTTGTGATCATTTATTTTGTCGCACAATCTGTGGCCCTGCGAAAATCCTCCGAGCTGGTGATCACTGCTTCGGACTAGCATTGATTGGCCTTTCTCTGATCGATTATCTCTGGTAACAAATCATTTTATTTATTTAACAAAGACATTAACTCTTTATGTAATCTTTTACCTACGTTGTACATTTAGCTGGTCCCTTGGGACCGCTTCGCATGTTCAGAATCACTAGATCAACAATTCACGTGTGAGATCTTTGATGCATTTCTCGACTTTTTTATTTTTCTTTTTTTCCCAAGGAATATTAGGTGTCTTATCAACTGTAGTGTCAGGACTTTGGCCGTAAAATACTGCAGGATTGTCTCCATTTTCGTACCAATATTCGCTCACGCAAGAAATATCACTTGTCCCATTTATACTTTTGTTAGCTGAGATGGACATAGTGTTATTTCCAAATTCGTTATCGAAAATTAAAGGAGACCCTCCAACTTCAGTGCGACCATATTCGTCAGAAAAAGGGATAACCTCTTCGTTGCGCTGGTAGTCATTCCTGGAACAAAAACGTGCAAAAAAAGGTCTGGTTTTTAAGCATACAAGAAAATGATACTGGTGTGTACATGTGAACGTAATGAAGTCTTATCGACATTTAATAATCAGGAGAGAACTATTTGTATGTTCTAGTGGACAGTGTGTGACAGCTACTTGACTTTCGTTAGAGCAAATTAGACAAAAATAAGAGGAGCTGGATCTTTCTGCTGACATGGCCATCGCCATTTTTTGACTAATTTGGAGTTAACGAAAAAAACTGACCTTTATATGTTATGTTCCAACGGACTATCCCAAAATGTTCATGATACCCTTCACCATATAAAATGGCTTTTTCATGGAATTCATTAGTACTGTTAAAGGAATTTGTTAAAGACATAAAATGCAGAAATAGAATTTTTTACCGGGACAGAAAAAACATTCTGAAAAGATTAACCACAAAAAAAGACACATGATCTCATGAACAATGTTCATGTACAACCCTAAAAATAAACCGCTAAATTAAGGTATTGTGCTACCTAGACTATGCTTTAGATAATTAAATCCAAAAGCCAGTTGTTCAATGTTGATCTTCTATCTCATAGTTGCTTACTGCGGTTTTATGTATTATAAGATGATCGACTCTTAAATAGACCGAAAATTAAAGTAAAAACAAGAATTATGTAAGGAAATTAGTAATTATGGTACAATGAATAGAGTCTAATTGATTTATTTACTTTAATAATGATAACCACATTAATAACAAAAACGATCACATTAGCAAACGTAATTTATTAATATGATATAATGATGAAAGTATATTCCACCGACTTAGATACATAAATGACAGTACAAAAAATAATAGAGATGTGTATGACATAAATTTGTAACTGACAGTTGTAATAATTTTGCGAATACCATTATTCGTCTTATTATTTCTTTTCTTTCAACTTCCGTTTTTTACAGAGAAGAGTTCATGGAGCATGTCTATAACGAAGCTACGAGTGGTTTCGCTCGCCCTCAGGAAACCTTCAAACAGACTTCCATTAGTTGCTCATTCGAAAAAACAAATGACCATTTTATAGTGAACAAAAAATAAATTTCTTAATTTCGTAGCACAATATTGTGTATGCACTAGAAAGTAACAAATGTTTTTGCTTTGTGATGTATTATCCCAAATAAGTTAATCGAAACTACGGAAATTGTAATTTCATGTGTGATGAAATTAATACCTATTTCATGATCTTCATCGCACTTGTGTACTAAATTCTAACTAATGACACGGATAATAAGTTGTGAGTAGTTTTATTAACAAGAAAAATATCACTTAGAATGAAATCAAAAAGCAGAGACATTTCTTTCTCAACATACACAGATTACTGCAATATGGCCATGATATTTACTAAAGCGACCCTACTTCTACATTGCCCTTCGAGCATTTCTGCATAACTTTAACAGATCTTGTATGGACAAGTTCGGCTACTATCTTATCTACTTCCTTATCTGGTGCAAAAATTACCTTTTTGACCCTCCTCGTGCTACTTTTTTGACCTGATCAAAATATGCAAGTTTATGTGTGACAAAATTATATTTTTTTTGACCCGAAATGTGATAATTAGTTATGTGATAAATTAACGATGAAACGTGTTACAGGCTAACAGGCGTTACCAAAAAAGACTTTATTATAATAAATTTATTAAGATTTCTCTATTTAAACATAATAATATAGTCTATTTTCTTGTTGTCTACTATCAGAACTTGAAAAATTTGGCATAGGTGTACTGGACGTCATATTATTATGTGTAGATTCAGAATAGGAGTTAACATTTGCAAGGTATGGCGTAAAAGAATATGAATTTTGGGTTGGTGGGCAATTATTTAATTGCACTGAAGAATTTGAATAGTATGGTGTAGTGCTAGGAAACGAAATTGGTAAATTTGTAGGATATACATAAGAAGAATCTATAGGAGTTTGTATTGATTGTGAAATGGGTAATAAAGAGTGGATATAATTATTTTGCGAATAAGATTGCATAATTGTTGGTTGAGCATTTTGAAAGGGTAATGTAGTTAAAGGTTCATATGGATTTTCTATGCCTTTAATGTTTTCCTAAATAAAATTTTGTTAGAAAAGAACAGCATTATAATCAATAATTACATTAATTTATAATACCTTAGCATTACGAACTGTCTCTTATACACATCTAGATGTGTATAAGAGACAGGAAAAGAACAGCATTATAATCAATAATTACATTAATTTATAATACCTTAGCATTACGAATATTTTTCCTAATTCTTTTTGTGTATTTGTTCGGAAAATGGTGTATTCCGATCAGTATCTTTAAGAATTCTATTTGGTTTTCTTGGGTTTTGCTGATGATTTTGGAGGAGCCCCATTGTTACTTTTATAATTATTTAGTTCTACAGGCCGAAATGGATCATTATTATTTTCATTTGGTCGGGAATATGATTTAAATATTGCCAAACCTAAAATAACATTAATTAAATTAATTAGATTATTGTATGTTTAATAAAAAGCAAATAAGATTATTAATTACCATTTGTGTTATATAAATTAACAATTTCCAAGTAAGCAGTTTCAATGTCTTCTTTGTATATTGAGATATTTTTTGATTCCATGGGCAATACTCTCTGCTTATTTTTAAAATATTTGTACTAATTCCTTTTTAATCTCTTGTTTAAAAAGTAACATATCGGAAGACTTGATTGCTTCTTGATAAATCAATGCAGCATGACAATGCTTACAAGTATCTCTAAAAGGTCCGTTCCAGATATAATCAAAACACGTACATTTTCCAGTCTTTATGTTAATTAAAGTAAAGTTTTCCTATTAACGTCCCTTCCATATCTACGAATTTGAAATCCTGAATGGTATGTGAGAAAGGTGAAAGGTTAATACCAAATTTTACAATGGTTACCAGACATCCCCTCTCACATACCCAACAAATTCCACGAAAAGTCGTTAATTACTTATTTTTTGAAAACAGTCCATACTGTAATTAATTAATCTAAAATAAGTTAGTCTAATTAGTAATGAAAAGAGAACCAACGCGTTCATCATATATAAAAACAAGAACGAAACTTTAGAAAAGTTTCGTCAAAAAGTATATTAAAAAAAATTTGACCGAATTCTCACCAATATCCTGAGTTCCCATTTTGACATTGTCTAGAACGAAACGTTAAACATTTCGTTATAAAAAGAATTTGATCGAACTCTCATCAAAATCTTCGTCAAGACAATTATCAAGTTTCAATTCCCAATCAAAAATCCGCTAAATTAGAAAAAGTTTCTCTGCCGAAAGAAAAAGGGTACACATCACATGATGCAATGTCTACAATTTGTCCTTTGCCATCGACATCAGCATTACCAGAAATATTACATAAACTGACATTCTTTTCCTTCCTATCGAACTTACATAGAGTAACAATTTGAAAAATTTTACAATGAGCATTACGTTAGTTGTACTACACATTTTCTTCTGAAATATAAAATTAATTGCTCTCCTGTAGAAACAAAGCGCTTATTGATCTCCTAAATTCCGACAGTAACAACTTTAACGATTATTACAAGTCATTTTCTTGAAAATTAAAAAAAGGATAAAAATAAAAAAAAACTTACCGTAAATATTAAAATCAATTCTTAATGGTAACGTCTCAGAAAAAAAAATGAAACGTTAGTCAAAGACAAAATTACTGTTACGTCTAAAAAGTCTGGAGGCTGTAACTACTAAAATTTAGTAGAAAGAGAGGATACTTATTTGTATCGCACGACTCACACGTGCTTAGTCGAAAGTCACGTGATATATATATTTAAATTGGGACCCGAAAAAACATCATCTTTCTACCGTGCAGGCCTCTTCATCAAACTCGTCTATGAGTCCATTGGCAGCTTTCCACTCGCGCTCCATATCGGTCTTTGCGCGGTCCTCTGGAATCTCTCGTGCCTTGCCTTTATCCATCTTTATAGTTTCATACCCAGCAGGAAGACAAATGTAATTGCGTGCTATTTATCATTCAATTCATTTCAATTCAATAAGATTTAATTAAAATTAACCTAAATAGACCATTCTTGAACAAGAGATGTTGATAGATTAACTAGTTCCTTGATAATTTGATAAGAATAAATGTTAATAAAAATCGTGGATTAAAACTTGAACAGCTCTAAATAAAGAGCGTGTAGGATGTTGTAATACGTGACCACCAAGTTTTTTATAAGCTGCATCATATGCCTGTTGAGATACTAGACAAAATAAGGATAAAGGAGAATTAAATTTTTGCAATAACTAAATTCATAGTTGATCCAAATTAGTCATAGCTTTCCCCATAATTATTCGTGCTTCAAAGATGTGTTCAATAAAAGGAAATATTAGTTTATTTTCTGAAAAAGTCAAGATCAGCTAGTGCATTTTCCTGAATAAATGCTAATAGACTTCAATACATCCATTATATCACCGATCAGTAAAATCTGAATTTATTTTTCAACGAATTTTCTTTACTCATTATTTAAACCAGTATTATTCTGGATAAATAGTACGCTAAAACGGATTCATATTTTTTTCTTTCACCAATCCAGAAACAAAAAATGCATTTAAACCTTATTCTGGCTCTTTTAGGAGCGTGTGTTTTTTCTATGAGAAAACCTCCAAAAAAATTTTGATGGTGATTGTATAGAATTTTGTCAATCATTGGATATATCCTGCGTAATTTTACTAGAATTGCATAAAATGATCAGCCTACCGGTTGATTCTATAAAAAATAAGCTAACCCAGGGTATAGCCTGTCATTTACGTGATGATGCAAATGATTTATGCCAACTAGGTATGCATAAATGAATTTTTGATCTCCAGTAGGTAAATGATTATCAATCAGGATAACCTATTTTATCCTGCACAATAAATTTTTTTTTTATCGTTTTCTCTGATGTAATATTTTGTACCAAAACGTTACGCATGATAAAATATTAATTTTTTTAATTAAATAAGTTAACTTTTATCGTTAAAAAAATTAATTTGCTTGGCGTGTATATTTATTATACTTTGATATACGTAAATTTATAAATTCGTCAGTTTTTTATAAAAGGACGACAAAAAACAAAAAAATTATTATTTTTCGTAAATTTTTTTATAAATAAAATTTCATTCACGTGATATGGATGAAATTGAAGTTGAAACTCAAAATAATACATTCGCATCAGCAGAAACGAAAATTGATATTCATGATAACGATAATATAAAAGAACATAGGGTAGAAACTGAAAAAACTCCATCAGAAATGAAGGATGATAGTTATGAACAACATAGGAAATCAATTTGTCAAATTCTTGTTTCTCAATACATGAATGCACAGGTCGAACAGATGTCATTGTCGCAAAATTTGCCTGGAATTTTTCTGGCAAATTGAGAATTATCCCGGTAAATTGGGGTAAATTGTGTTACAATTTTGGGATAATGGAGGTCTTACAATTTGGCAAATTTTGTCAAAATGGCGGAATTCCTACAGAATTCCTAATTCAAATGTTGAGAAATTTTTCAGTAAATTATCATTAAATTGTGGGAAATTTTAGGCAAAT